TAGGTAAATTGACAAAATGCAAAATAATTCTCAGACTTTACATGATCATGATAAAATAACTAGAATTTGACAAAGAACTGTTTTCTTGATTATATTAGCCATTAAAAAAATGATCAAGAGATTTTTCGGTTCGATTTCAGAGGGTGGAAAATAAAGCCTGAAATTAAGAACATCTTGCAAAATGCAGCAGAGTGCAGCAAAATGCAGTATGAGAGAGCAAGAATCTCACCGAACCCAGCTCACTAGACGCACATACGGGGTCGCAAGTATTTCACCAAACCTGTAAAATGATTGGCGCTTTCATACGCTATGGACTGACGGTACGCTGAAATTGATCATGGTGGAATGAATTCTGTTGTTGTTGTTAATTTTCGTCGCACTAGAGCTGCACAATGGGCTATTGGCGACGGTCTGGGAAACATCCCGGAGGATGATCCGAAGATATGCCATCACAATTTTGATCCTCTGCGGAGGGGATGGCACCACCTCTTCGGTAGCCCGACGACATGCGAGCGAAGTTGAGCACTTTACGGTAGCACAGTTTAACGAGGACCAATACCACACACCCTAGGTCCCTACGCAGACTGATCCAAGTGGTCACCCACCCGCACACTGACCGTAGCCAGTGATGCTTGACTTCGGTGATCTGCTGGGAACCGTGTCTTAACGATCAATTCACTGCGGGACGAATGAATTCTTAAAACGTGAAATAGAAAAATGTGAAAAGCACGTTTTTACATAATGTGTGGCGAAAATCGACATTCCCTTTCATAAATCTCATTTTCGAAAAGGGAAAATAAGGCACTTTTTAAAAACACTTATTAAGAAAAGCGCCTTTAAGGGCCTTTAAAAAATGAAAATCGAAAATAAGCACCTTTAAGCACTTTTTAAAAACGCTACGCACCATGTTTTATACCTCAGTCACTCAACAAGATAAAAAAAAATCGTCAAAATTCTAGATAGTATTTAAGTCCATCCCCCTTTCACCCCCTTATCTTTTTAGGGACGCAGCATGAAATTCAATGATATCTTAATATCATCTCATATTATGAGGTAGAAATCATAATCCTTTTTATACTATGCTACTTCACTAATGGGGAAATAATATTTTCAGAATTTTAATTTGCTGCTGAAAAAAAGACTTAACACAAATACAAATGTAAAAAATTAAATCAAAATCAATCAATATTCTACAGCGTCTGTGATTTCTTTTTCCTCCCTTTACGAACATCGTTGTGAAACTATGATATAATAGAATCATATGATAAAATTAAATATGAGCCAAAAGTAAAGATAAATAACAAAATATGGTAACCCAATTACATGCAACCGTTCAGGCAATTAAGCAACCCTATCGGCAACTCCGAACGGAGGAATTGCACGTAGAGTTTCACTTACACTTGCAGTTACACCTACGGTTGCACTTATTTTTCTCTCGTGTGATAGAGGCATAAGGGTACGTCAGCATAAAACGTACCATGTTTAGTAGTCCAATGGAATCCAATGCTTTTGCAACGTTACAGAGTTGTTTCTTTTTCAAGAACAAATGTTCTCCTTATTTATCGAAATATGTCGCCAAATCTAGGATTCCAGTAAGACTATGAAACTATAACCCTTTCTTTAATAATTCTACGATATATATCGTAAGAGATAGCAGGAATTAAATTTCTGACTGACGAGTTTAACTGTTAGAAGTTTTTATATTGTTTTGAAAGCATATGATTGTATTTGTATAATTTGATAACGAAATAAAACGGAACTATATGCAGAAGCGGATGATTACTTGAATTCGATGCTTATTTTCTTAACTTGCAACGGAGTATAGTTTAATGTTTCAGTGTATCCTTGAGCTAAAGTTAGAAGGCAAATGAGTTTTAATTCACAAAACACACTTCAAAGTGAACAAATAAAATATTTTAAAAGTATTCAATACTTAAAAAGAAATTTAAAATGATTTAGATGCATCGAATAGAATTTTGTTAAATAAAAAAGAACACTCCAAAATTTTTTCAATCATTGGAAGGTCACCTGAATAATTTAAATTCGTATATATTTCCCCCACAATTCAGTGAATCTAGAAAAAAAAGAAAGTTGTAAATTTGCATGTGAATTAAAAATGCCACGGTTTATTAATAAATCAAACAAGGGTTTATTAATAATAATAAATCAAACAATGCACAACAAAAGAGTACATAATGAAATTGGAAGGAAATTCCAAATACTATCAAGTTCAAATTATATATATAATAAAGAGTAATTTCCTTTCATATGACTTAGTGAGATAAAAGCACGTAATAAGGCCTTGCAGGTTATAGCAATGATTGCGTGCGTATATCAAATGTGTTTCCAAGGGAAATTTATAGCTGATGTAACTGGTTTTATCACGAGAATATGAAAATCTTATGTTAGGTTATAAATGGAAAAAAAATTTGTGTGAGTTAACTCAATTTTTTTCTCAATCTGCCAAATTTAAAAAAAAAGGAAAATAAACCTTTGTCGTCATTTATTATTTTAAGCTTTAAGTAATTTTAATAATTACAGATTTATAATCATAACATGATTAGTTTTAATAATTACATGAGCATTTGAAGCATGTAAAATAATATTTTGTTTAACTACAAAAACTTGGCTGCTTTCTAAGCGTTTCTCTATACTTTTCGTTACCATCCCAGGAAACTGGTTAAGAAACTGTTATAGTTTTCAATACGATCTCAAGTTATATCGATTATTGTTTGAGAGCACTTGTATCGATTTTTAATCTTGTGAAACTTTTAGGTTGTTTCATATAAAATAAAATTTTTGATAGGTGGAATTTTTAAAAAATTCATTAATGTGATAATAGATATAAAGTTCAAATAGTTTGCGTAGGTATGTACTTTATTTACTTCTCACTAGAGCTGTCCAATGGGCTATTGGTGACGGTCTGGGAAACATTCCTGAGGATGATCCGAAGACATGCCATTGCAATTTTGATCCTCTGCAGCGGGGATGACTCCCTTTCTTTAGTAACCCAATTACCTGAATGTGAAGTTGAGTACTTAACGGTAGAACAGTTTTACGAGGACCAATACCTCGCACCCTTGGTCCCTAGACAGGATGATCAAAGTGGTCACCCACCCGCTTACTGACTGCAGCCAGTGATGCTTCACATCGATGTTCTATTGGGAAACGTGTCTTTACAATCAGTCCACAGTGGATCCCTTATATTTTAGACACAAAAATGATTTTCCCCTTTAATGTTGAATTTACTTTTAGCAATTTTTGACCAGAAGAGAAATAAAAATTCCGAAAAAAAATCAAAAACAGAAAAATCAAAGTTGGATTTTTGATTTTTTGCTTCTTGGAACTTATTCAATATATCTCGTTTAAAGTTTGGATTTCACAGTAATGATTACTTTGTTATCTCACAATTCCATAGTTTTTTGTTAAATATTATATTAATCAGTTTATAATAATTTTCTTGCATGAAATTATTCCGTATATAAACGTGTTTATCTACGGAATTCCATATTTTTCAAAGGTAAAAAAAAACTATTTACAGAAATTACGCTTTTGCATCAAATTTCGTAATTAAATTTTAAAGATAGCACATATTAATTTGCTGATTTAAATAAAAATGTTCTTCAAACCATTAAGATTTTTATTTTTGTGAGTGAAAATCCAATTATTAGATCAATAGTTATTAAAGATGACACATTTTTTTTTTGGTTTAAATTACATGCATTAAAATAATATGTTTCGATATTCTTCACATTGAAACTTAAAAAAAATATTTAATGGAAGCTACTGTTCTAGGGGTTGTGAAATGTTATAAACAAAGAAGAAGTACCTAATTGAAAAACTAAGTTTACATTAACCACTTGCTTTGGTAAGACATTAATAGATGTGCTTACCAAAATATTTGACTGTAACACATTGCGAAGCGTCAAATGTTCAATGCCTTATAGAAATTCAAACATTTTTATTTTTTATTTTTTTCATACGATCGTCGTTTTTATTTTTGTGATAGATGCAAGCCGACATATACAACACGTCGATGGATATTTTGATTCAAAAACATCTTGAACGCCTTTTCAGCGAAAGTGGTTAAAAAACGAAAATGATTTAAAATCTGGGAGCGTAATTTGTGAACATACAAATTAAATTTAAATAATAGAAACACCTTAAAGAAGAGAAACACCTTAGAGAATAATATAGAAACACCTTAAATATCGGATTTAACAACGTACGCAACAGAAGCTTAGATGGAGCACTAATTTTTTTAACGATTTTTTCTCTTCAAAAAAGATGGTTCCAAATAGAGAAATATTAATAGTCTTGATGTTCTTAAGCATTTTAAAATTTCCATTCACCAAAATGTTACTCTATCTTGAATAAATAAGCATTTGTTCAATAGACTACTGACTTATGCCAGTTTTGAAAAATAGGAATCTTAGCGTAGCACTTTAAACTCTTCAAACATTGTAAAGGTTAAATTTTACAGCTTACCTGTAATTTAATAAAACTCAAGATTGCATCCTTCAAGCTGCATTAATTTGTAATTATTGTTAATTTAATAATACCAGAAAATTATAATTATTATAATAAAATATATATATATATTATAATTATTATATAAATTGTAATTATTGTTAATACATAATTGTGTTAATAAATATCGGATAATTAAATGTTTGTCTAACAGACAACTGACTTTTGCCAGTCTCGCGAAATTGAAATCTTTACATTTTAACATTAACAACAACATTTCGACTTCTTCAAAGATTCTAAACGGTAAATTTTGTTATTCATCTAATGAAAATGTAAGAGCATCTCCTTTAAACTGCTATATTTGTTTAACATAAATGAAAGAAATATAAAAAAATAAGCAAGAGTTTAACATGTTGTCTATGAGTCGAATGATATATTATTGATTTAAGTTTAAATACGTAGGCTTAACATGTTCTTTTAGGTTCTTTAAATGTAACTTGCGTTTTATCTTAAAACCTTAAGTAACTAACCTGTTGGTAAATTTGTCAATATCTGACTGGATTTCCATTCTGTACATTTGTCTCAGACTTGTATTCACATATGCAAGAATTCCTTCTAGGGTCCTGCTTTTGTCCGTAAATAGCCAAGTAGGCTTGATGTTCTTTAATGTAATTGTCTATCTCGTCGGGAGATGGCTCGTCAACATTTGCTATAACTGGTTGAGGGCAGCACTGCTTCGTACACACTCTGTATATACAGTACAGAAATACCAGGAGAAACACGAAGCCCATAGCTATGGCTGCACTATGGGAATTTGGAAGTTTTTCTTCAATAGTGTCTTCTTCACCAAGAATAATTACGGGTTCTTCTGAATAGGTTGGCAACACTTTAAGAAATATCCACAAACAGGTAAAGATTAAGATTTGCATTTTTTAAGCAGCTAAATACTATAAAATTGACGAAAATTGACGTTGATAATGGTCCGTTTCGAACGCCCTTCAAAAGATTTTAAAGACTAAGAAAGGTGAGCTAGCTATAGTCCTCAAGTTTCTTTGAAAAAATCTCGAAAATGCACTAAAATAGCTTTCCATAATTCTTAAAAAGTTTTAGTGTGTCTTGAATTGGAGAAGTATGATCAATTAAACGCAATATGGATTTTTTTTGGAAGAACAAATTGAAAATCTAAACTATTGCAAAAAGTTATGCATTACAATATATTCCAAAATTCCAACCTAACTATCTTGACTTGAAGCATAAATGTTTAATATAAATCAGTAATAAACTTTCCAAAACATGAAGGCAGAGCAATTAACCAATCTACCACTTAATCAACAGTTTTTAAAAATAAAGCACAATAATTATGCTAAATTAAATATTCTAACGAAATACAGTCATTTTCTAAACAATTGTCACAGAACTTATCAAATATTCCACATAGACACGTTTTGGCATCGTTTTTTATATAATTGGCGAACAGAACATATTATTTAATATCATTCAAGATCCAAGAACTGTCACCAACATAAATGTCTTTTGTACGATTGTTTTTTTCTTAAAAACTTATTATATTCCAAAAGAATCTCTTCAATCGTAATTCTAAAGTACCGTTTTCATTGGTCACATCCTACACGTCAATCAGTTTGAGTATTTCGGATTGTGCTTCGAAAACATGTTGTGAAACATGGTACAATGAAAGCGAATGGCTGATGTCTACATTATTTGCGAATAAATACGAAGATGGGTTTAATTAAGTGTTTTTTCACTGATGCGTATCGCCAGTGTGCTTATTCAACAGAACAACAATCGTTATTCCAGAAACAAATCTAATATCTTCCGAATTGGCAAGAGTTCTAGTCTAGTTTTATGATTTCATTTTTATGCTGCAACGTTCGACACAGATCATCTGAATATCGCCAATGGGCTTATTCAACAGAACAATAATCGTTGTATCCAAGAAAGAAATCCAACTCGACAGTGTTCTAATCCAGTTTTACGATTCCATAATTATGCTACCATCATTCATGTTTGTCATAGCTCATCTATATAATCTTCCAAACAAATTGAATTATGACATTCATTTTCTTTTTTTTGGCGATTTTTATTTCTGAAGGAAAAGTTCAACCGAGGAAAGCTTTTTCACTTAGCGTGACGCTGACAACAGCCTTGACAGCGAATGCCATATCCCTTGGCGTGCGGGAGGATATAGTGTGTCGTTTTATAACCTTGCTTTACTTAAGACTCGACAAAAAGTATGAGAGATCGTTTTCGGACAAAATGGCGCAAGAATCGGTAACGCTTTGCTACACACGTTTAACAGTTGTAATTTTTTAAAGACGTTTTGTTCTGGGTAGTATTTAAAAGGGAATAAAAGACTATTCTTTTGTGAAGATGTCTTCGTTGTGAGGTAAAAGGAAGTAAAAATAGCAATTTGAGGTTCTTAAAAAATTTGTAGTTTCTTCAATAGAATAAGTTCGTGAAGCGTAATGGTTTGGGATAGTTATGAAGAAATTAAATGTTAATGTTTTAAATTGCATCATCATCGTTAATACAAACGATATTCGTGATTTCGTATGAAAAAGAAAATTACTGCGACGTTATGATTGAAAGAAAAACTTCTTTTATTTTAGCTGGAAATAAATTGAAATCTTTTCTGTTTTAGATGTTCAATTTAAAGTTACATTTTGTTTTGTTGGACGAAAATTATAAGACTTAACCTGAAATTATAAAGATTTAAAAATTGGTTCGAAAGTTAGTAATTGTTAAACTTATAGAAAAATATACCATGCGGCCTACTCTGTAACTTGCAGAAATCCAACAACAGAGTTGAAATTTGACGTGAAGGCTATTTTTATTTATGAAACTATAGCGAGTTTTCTTTTTCGAAATTTATTGCAATTTTAAGTGCTTTTTCTTCGCGATTTTTTTCTCACTTTTCTTGCTTTAAAAAATGACTACTTATCCATTGATTTGGGAAATTTATTTTTCTCACTTAGGGTCTTTATTTTATAAGCTCGCAGTTAAGTTAATTTCGAAAATAACAGAAGGGGAGAGAGACAGAGAGAGCGAGAAAGAAAGATGTTTTTAGCTATAAACCTTAGTAGGGTAAACCAACCAGTGAAGGAACACTACCCAGTGAAGGAACATTACATATATATTGATTAAAAATAAGAATTTGAAAGTTTTTCCTTAGATTGATTGGTAACAATAGCTTACTGTTAAACAATAGGAAGTCACCTAGCAATGCTTTGGATTACCTGGTCAAATAGACTTCTCTGGAAAAATTTTTGAATTTGTTATTATCTCTGCAACACCTTGTTTCCTTGAAAAAATTATAAGGTGAGTGCTTGTATTTACATGTTTCAAGTGGAATTAATTGCATGCAATAGTTTTATTTTTCTCACTGTGGAAAAGAGAATTCAAAATATAGTTATTGAAGTTACGTTTTATTTTTTTTAAGCATCATAGCATAATAAAGTACTGAGATAAAGGTGTGTTTATTCACTGAATCACCAAACGATGAAAAACCAGTGAAGGAACAAGTGCTCCTTTACTGTTTTTTTTTCTAAGTTAATGAAAATAAAAGATAAANAAACCAGTGAAGGAACAAGTGTTCCTTTACTAGGTTTTTTTCTAAGCTAATGAAAATAAAAGATAAACTCTAATTTTCTTGTACCTTTAGTGATGTTCCACATCAAAAGTATGTTAAAAATACGAAAAACAACTTCTAACCAGTGAGGGAACAGGCATGCTCCTTTACTGGGCATAGATTTCCCTTTGAATGAACAGTATGTGTTAATATGTTGACACTTTAATTTTCAATTCATGATTAGAAAAAAAATTTAAAATTTTCGAAGTATTTATATGTTATAATTTCAAAAATAGGCTTGTTTTTAAATATTTGTATGGCTTATAAATTCATAAAGAGCATTAAAAAATAACCAAAATTAAGTGTTCCTTTACTGGGTGTTCATTCACTGGTAAAAGCTGTTCCTTCACTTCTTACTACTTGTTATTTGAACCTCCAAAACTTTAAAACAATATTATGTAAGTTCTCTACAATTTTTTTTACATAACTTGCAATTAGTAACAAATATGTTGACACTGTCATTTAACTAAAATTACGAATTTAGAAATTATAATATGATTTTTTAAAAGGCAAGCGAAGCTTAAGTGTTCCTTCACTGGTTAGTTTACCCTACAACGAAATACGCAAAAAGTAAAAGTAAAATTGAATCTGTTTTTCGAAGATCATATGAAATAATGCTATTTTCATAACTGCTGTGAGTTTACAACAGTTACTCATGACTGGTTGGTCAAATTTAGCCTTTATATAGTTAGTATGGCTGGGATAGTTGACAGGGTGTTGGGCTCATGTCTGTGAGTTCGATACCCGCCGGCCGAAGACTCCCGTGTTTTAAATGGTGACTGGTGCACGTTAAAACTGTCAGGTCACTAAGTCCTCCATGTTCCCATAACAAATTATGGGGGTATTGAATTGGAGATTGATCGTTCTCTGGTTGAGATCAAAATTACGATCTGTGGATGGATGGTGTATGAATGCAGGGGTCTGTCCAGACATTTTGCGAAAGGGCCGTTTTTGTAAAATTGTGAAAAAGTTACTCGTAATTTGTGAATATAAAATAAACGTCAAGTCACATTCTTTCAACCAGGGCCCGCTTTTGTGAATTTGTGCAAATAGGGTCCGTTATTGCAAAAAAACTTTTTCAAGGAGTTTTTAAATTGTAAAGACATACAAGATTATGCTCAACACTGTAAAATTATAATTAAAAAAAATTACATTTCAAAAAAATAAACATTAATCGCAGCTACTAAATTAGTGATGCAACATATAAATATTTGGTACTTAGCCTATACTGCTGAGTCCCGCAGTGGACTGATCGTTAAGACACGGTTCCCAGCAGATCACCGAAGTCAAGCATCACTGGTTACGGTCAGTGTGCGGGTGGGTGACCACTTGGATCAGCCTGCGTAGGGACCGAGGGTGTNCCCCCCCCCCTACCTGGGAAGTGTTTATTCGATTAACAAAACAATAATGAAGATAAACAAATTTGTGAAGGGTCCGATTAAAAGATAAATTATTTTGTGAAGGGTTCGTTTTTAAGTGAAAATATTTTGTGATGGGTCCGTTTTTATGAAAAAATATTTTGTGAACGGTCCCAAATTTCTTCTAAACAGACCTCTGGAATGTGTCCTTCCTGTGAAACGGGATAGACGTGTGTGTGACAGAAGTCGAATTCTTGTCCATAGATGGCGCCATTGGAAAACAAGAACAATCGCACCCCCTCTGCCCTAATGGTCGGCGACAACAGCAATGTAATTTATTTATTAATTTTTTTTTTTACAGAATTTTGCGAAATTGGAATTTACTCACTAGAAATTGATACAAAGTTCGTTTGTCTTTGAATTGAATTATCTTAAATTTATGTACGAAATAATCTGATTAATTTCCTTATAATTTTCATTATTATAAAACTTTTATGTTTGACATTTACGTATCATTTTTTTAGCAGAAATTACGGAAATGGCTAATAATTGGTTTGTTTATTGAAATATTTTAAATTTATGCCAACTTTGATAGATGGCTAACTCGAAATCGACACACAGTTTAGCTATGTATTGAAATATTCTAATTTATACCAACGTAACAAATGAACTAGTTATTTTTCCTTATATAGACAATTCTAACAATAAAATGTATGCTGTCTCCGGATCATCTTCAGGGATTTTTCCCAGACCGTTGCCAATAGCCCATTGTGCAGCTCTAGTGCGACGTAAATTGAAGTACCTACCTATATATAGCTATCGCTCTCTATATTCTGAAAACGTCGATATGCATAAAAACCACAGTTTAACTGTAGAACCGTCTGTGCTAATATCCTGAAATTTGAAGATTGGATGAAAGAGGCAATTTTAATCCTGCATCCTATAAATCGTTCAAAAATTTCAGTTCGATCGTTCAGAAGAGAAGTTTGAAAAATGGAATTTTCTCATTGACTTTAGAACTTGCCATTTATATGAATTAAACTGCAGCCAATTCTGTTTTTTTTTTTTCCAACCATTTTAATGAAAATATCAGTGGTGTTTGCTAGCGAATATTTCTCATTAATGTTTTTCTTGTTTGTTCTTTTTAATATTTACTTTTTATTCCTCACTTCAGATTAACTCAATGATTAATGTGAATGTAATGGCATACGTGGACTGCGCACCAAATTGGTATTCTAGAAGTTACATGAAATTACCTGTTTGTTTTGTTTATAGTTATATTTTAAAAACGGTGACTCAATAAAACTAGATAAATTAAAATCATCTCTTTTTAAAATAAAATAAATAAGTTATGTACTAAATATATTATTTATTTAAAATAAAATAAATGAGCAAAATTAATGAATAAATATTACGAATTCTTTTAGAAGAAATGCAAAAATTTGTCATACTATTACTATTGACAAAAAAGATGCGTGATTAATTATGGTAGTAGATACTACTTAAAATAATAAAAAAGTATAAGTTATGCACTAAAAAGCAAAATTTATGGAGAAATAATTCAGGAGAAACATAAAAAAAAATCATTCCTTATTTTTCAAAATGAAGATCTCAAATATCTCAAGGGTGTTGCTGGGATCGAATTTTTTAGGGAGACAAAATTAAAATAGAGTTATAATAGTTCTTTATCATAAAAAAAAAATCCTACATTTGCTAATATTACTAAATATTTACTAAGAGTTGTTTTTTACATGGAATTATCTTTGAAAAAACAAATTTTATAATTGTGTGCAAAAAATTTTCAACTCGCTTAAAAAAAATCTTGAGATACAGCAAAATACGCAAAAAGGAAATTTAATAGTAGGGGGTTTAAACTTTGAAGCGCTCTCCTGACCAAATTATGGCTACCCCCTATTATTTGAAGGTCAGAAATCCGAATTTGTTGAAAAAACGGTATGTTTATTCAGAAGTAGTACAATTTTGTGTCTGATTTCATAACTTACAATATCGCTTGCTCTAAATATTTAGCACCATTAAGATCACCCTGGCAACACATTAAGATTGAGTCCTAGAAAGTGAAGATTTTATTATTAAAATAAAAGTTCTTAACCTTTTACAATAAGTGGTTATAAATGAAAAAATTGCTAATTAAATAGCACATTTGAGGTCAACCCCTCAAATTTGATCCCTAGAATGTGAAGATCCGATCGATCATTAGATCTAAAGTTATTCAGG